TGGCTAATCAGTTCCCTGGTAATATTAGTAAAGTAGAAAAGAAAAAGAAAAGGACTGTTTTTTCCATGACGCCGAAGACTGTCCAAGTACAACCTGGAAAAGGTGACAGTCCTGTTGCACTGTCTTGTAACTCCCCAGAGTCATTGCCTCCACATTTGACCCTCCCCAGTGCACATGTAAATGATGACAGTGATGACGATGACAGCTGGCTCTTTCTCCATGTAAAGGAAGAAAGTGAACAGCCTGGGTCGGTGCCCAGAATAAGCCCCACTGTCTTGTTTGCCGATGCAGGGGTGCCGAATCTTGCAATGAGAAAGTTTCAGAGTGAGTGCATTGTTTAAAATAATAAAAAAGGTCATGATATCTCTCTGTTTTCTCAAAGCCATTGGTTGACTAGCCTGGCTGGGCCATCCTGTTGCATGAATCACTTGCCGTTCCTTCCCACAACAGTCTGGACTTCAGCCCATTGGGAGCGTGTATTCCCGGTCAGAAAATAACCGGGCCAATCAGTGACTGTGTTTCCACTGTTCCCCGGACAACAGGGAAAGGCAGCCCCTGATTGGTCCATGTGTAGATGGTGACGTCTCACACATGCTGCGGGACTTTTCAAAGCGCCGTTCATTCAGAACGACGTTAATTCTGCAGTTGACTTTGCAAAGTCAACAGAAATCGTTTATATCCGCAGAAGATGTCGGACATTAACGATTTCTGCTGACTTTGCAAAGTCAACTGCAGAATTAACAGCGATCTGAATGAACAGCGCTTTGAAAAGTCCCGCAGCATGTGTTAGACGTCACCATCTTCAAATGGACCAATCAGGGGCTGCCTTTTTCTGTTGTCCGGGGAACAGTGGAAACACAGTCACTGATTGGCCCGGTTATTTTCTGACTGGGAATACACGCTCTCTATGGGCCGAAGTCCAGACTGTTGTGGGAAGGAACATCAAGTGATTCACGCAACAGGATGGCCCAGCCAGGCTATTGGTTGACTGCTTCAAATCAAAGTCTGTCTCATATCGGCGTAAGACTAAGACTCAACTTGATTTAACAAAGCCCATTAGTAGCAGGCAGTTTAATGCTTTTATTTCAAGAATTTCTGATGCTGAGACACAGGCCGTTTGTAAATTCCTTGAGCACCAGTTCAGTGACATGAAGGATAGTGAGCTGAGAACCCTATCCTCTGTCAAAGATGATGTAAATCTTTTGACACCACTCATTACTGTCGACAATCGTGTAATGGATAAACCATTGACTCTCACTGATATCTCTCGGATTACTAGAGATGCTCCGTCACCGCTGAACAATCCTACAGCATTTATGAATTGGTGGACCACGGCATTGATGCCTACATCTCTGTCCAGACGAGATGTTAGATACATTCTTGCCACACTAATGCCTCACATCAAGATAGATACTCTAATTGCGGAATGTGACACTTTACGGTACCGATATGATGGGCCAGTAGAAGGGGAGGAGACCGTTGAAGGAAAGTGTCTCTGGTTAACCAGAGACCAAAAAACTGAGCATATTGCTGAACTTACTAAATTCCTTGAAAAAAATGCAGCACAGGACCAGGACATTACCCAGGTCTTAAATTGTAAACTTAAACAGAATGAACCTATAGCTGAATATGCTTCTAGATTCTTGCAATGCTGGAAAGAGCAAGCCAAATTACAGATTAAGGAAGAAGAGGATCCCTTTTTTGCCTCTATGTTTTTGAATGGATTGGATTAAAATGCTTCGTACACTCTTAGAGTGGCCGCACCCGATATTTATACCTATGATCCTAATAGACTTTTGAAGAAAGTTAGAGAACTTAATGCCATAGGCCTCTTTGCAGCATCCAAAAATAAAACACAAGCAGTCCAACTGAGTACCAACGTAAAAGAATCCATCCATGCATTCCAACATGTACAACCGACCAGGGGCCGAGGAAATTTTAGACGTTACAGAGAGCAAGGGCCATTTGAACCCTCTCCGTATATAACGGATACTTTTCAGGTCAACCCGAAGGGTGAATCTTTTCCCCCAGGGCGGAGAGGACGGGGACGAGGAAGAATGATGGAAATGAATGATCGGTGCCTGTATTGTTATGAAGTTGGACATTGGGTAACACAATGTCCCTTAAAACGGGCCCAAGGTTCACAATATGGGCCTATAAATCAAATGCCTCCCTATTATCCTGCTCATATGACCTCTGGTTTCTCTCCACAGACCAATACAGAAAGGATGATATCTGGAAGTCATCCCACAACCCAGGGTCCTCCGGACAGAGGGGCGGCTTCTTCTTCATTGTGGAAGCAATGATATAACCGACAGTTGTGGGGCGTGAACAGACTTGATTACTCTACAATAATTATAAATACTCCACAATTTCATGTTTCCAATGAACCAGCTGAGACACCTCAATTAAGTGTGCAAGTTTCTGGTAAACCTATTAAGTTCCTAGTTGACACAGGGGCAACTACATCATGTTTAAGAAAAAAGGACTTAAGTTGCCCTTTGAGTAATCTCTCTGTTCAATCTGTTGGTATCTCTGGAGTCCCACAACTAGAGCCCCTGTCCGTTCTGCTGCCTGTTGATCTGGATGACATCAAACTGCAACATTCATTTGTTGTTAGTGCTACAACACCGATGTCCTTAATGGGATGTGATCTATTAAGTAAATTAAATGCAGTCATTACGTGTTCACCTGATGGTATTGAGGTTTATATTCCAGCAGACAAGACATACCAACTATTCTCCCATCTTGTTGAAGTGTCACATAATGCCACCAGTGTATTGACAAACTGTAATTTTATCTCTGACCTGTTTACTTTGACGAATATCAAAAAATTGGCATCTTGTCAGGCTGCTAGTGCAGCGTTGATCATACATTTGAAATCCGTCAATATGCCCTTTTCTGATGAAGTAATTGAACCTACTGACATGGAGGAATTTCCACAGCGTTTTTTTATGTCTCCAAATGGTCTTGTACTCTTACGGAGAAACAAGAAACAGGTTATTCATTTTTTTCATCTGTGCTGTTCGAACTGATTTTGGGGATATTGACCATCTTTTGATTTCCTGTCAAGACTATCTAAATAGGACACCTGACCAAATTGATCAAAACAAGGATTATATCATCTGGTCTTATGGTCCGGAACCCACGCATTTCTTTATCAAACTTTTGAAAACGGAGGACAGACCCTTGATTTCTCCCATGGATCACAAAGAAATCCTGTTGCAACCGCCTTCGATCTTAGTGGCTGTACCTTCTGAACTTTGGGCTTTGCATGCAAATCATGTAGGATTATTGAATGTGCCACCAAATCAAACCAAAAAAAAGAAATACCAAGTGTTTGTTAAACAGTATCATCTATCTAAAGAAAAAGAAGAAGGCATAAGACCGGTAATCGAAAGTCTTTTGGAACAAGGGGTGATTGTTAAACGACAATCCCAAAACAACACCCCGATAAATCCTATTCTTAAACCTGGAACTAACAGGTATAGATTCACACAAGATTTGCGGAAAATTAACGAAGCGGTAATTCCGATTGCCCCTGTAGTGCCTGATGTCAACTCCATTCTAACAGCTTTGCCCGCAAATTCAAAATTCTATACAGCGATTGATTTATGCTTTGCCTATTTTTCAATCCCTCTACATGAAGATACGCAGGATTTATTTGCATTTATGTATAAAAATGATCAATACATTTGGACCAGATTGCCTATGGGATTTGTTGATTCAGCTGTTGTGTATTCAGCCGCTTTTAATATGCACTTATCTCAGTTAATCTTGCCATGTCGATCCTGTATTCTACAGTATTCGGATGACCTACTTCTTTGCTCAGAGACTAAAGGAGAATGCATTCAAGATTCTGCCATTATGGACATTATGGACATTCAAAGACCTTGGACGAAAACTGAAATGTTATCCTTTTTGGGACTGGCGAACTATTGTCGCTGTCTCTCTCAGGTCCCTCTGCGTGCTCGACTCGGTTGAATTTTGGCACTCCAGGGGCGGGCCACTCTGCACCTCCCCTCCACTCTGATTGGGCACTTAGAACCGATTGGCGCCAGGTCAGAGCCAATCGGAGGCAAAGTAGGATTGTTAAACCTCAGCACTGCCTCTTCTATCACCATACCAGTCTTTGCACAAACACAGCTGAAATAAATATACAGGAGCTTACAGAAGCATCTTTTTGAAAAACATTAATACAGCACTCCATTTTTGTGGTAGATAGATAGATAGATAGATAGATAGATAGATAGATAGATAGATAGACCTTATGAGATTAAACGATGGCAGAAGGGGGGTTGTTATAAGGACATGGATAACTTGTGGAAGTATCAACCCTCCCGGAACTAGCATATGATCCACTCATAGCTTTTGTTCATGGGGTTACACATGCTAGTTACACAGCGGTGACTGACTACATCTCTCGATTGTTTTATACCATAGGATTGGAAAAATGAGTTCGACAATTTATCCAACGTTGTCTTATTTGTGCAAGATGCAATCCTAATACGCATCCTCCACGACATGGGCATCTCCCCAAACCTTCTGGTCCTTTTGAGTGTCTGCAAATTGACTTTACACATATGCCTAGATGTCGAGGCTATTCATATCTTTTGGTTATTGTCGACAGATTCTCTAAATGGCCAGAAGCATTTCCTGCTAGAAAGGAAAATGCACAAACAGTGATTAAATGCTTGATGGAACATGTCATACCACGGTTTGGTATTCCCACTTCTATTGATTCAGACAATGGCACCCCTTTCACCTCACAGGTGACCAAATTACTTGCTCAAACTTTAGGTATTAAATGGACCTTTCATGTCCCCTACCATCCTCAAAATTCAGGGCAAGTTGAACGCATGAATAGAACAATTAAAGAAAAGATAATCAAAATCCATCAGGATAGACAAATGAATTGGGTTGAGGCGCTCCCCCATGTTCTTTTAGCGATTAGGGCTATGCCAAACAAAATTACTGGCTTGTCTCCCCATGAGGTTTTGATGGGTCGGCCTTTTCCTTTATGTCTTCAAGTCCCTGAAGACTCTGCCATGAATTTGACCTGCTTACAAGAAGCACAACAGGAGTATGTAAAACTTTTGTTCTCTTTTCTCGCCAAGTATTCTCAGCAAGTGATAAACTCCATCCCGTCGCCCTCAGAGAAACCGATCCATAGCGTTTCTCCTGGCGACTACGTTCTGGTCCGCAGCCTGAATCCCACTGGGAAGGACCCACGATACGGACCTGCAGTTCAAGTCCTCCTCACCACGGGCACTGCAGTCAAGGTTAAGGGCCAGCCACAATGGATACATGCGACGCAGCTCAAAGTGGCTCCGCCAGCGGTGCACCCGTCGACTGCTCCTGGTTCTGGTTCTGCAACACCCAAACCCGATTGAGAAAGGCAACCTACACCTCCACATCTATACATCCACTCATTAACATTATGGTTACCTTATATGTTTTTATCGGTGGATGGATATTATGCAATACCCTCCTTTATGGCGCTAATGGCAGCAACATACCTACAGGGGGGTTAGATTTGGATTTTGAAGGACTATTGAAGAAGGAAGGGAAAAGTGATCAAGCAGTCCAGCGGATCATGACGCATGTCAAAGATCTATGACCAGAAGGGCAATAAAGCACACACCCTACTTAGATGTCGGTCTTCTTAATAACCAACCCCTTAGTGGAAATGAAATGCAATGTTTGTTTTATGCTTTGACACCCGAAGGAGCAACTAAATCATATCATATTAACAATGTCACTTATTTACAACTAAATGCTCAAACTATACATCTATTTGTCGAATACCAATCCGAAACCAATGAGACAATAGATGCAAAACCTTTCCCTATTCATACCATGACATCCTATCCCACAGTTGACTTTTGTAATGATTTATGGAAATCTATGACGCCTGATTTTTATGTACATTTAGATTTTGACATGTATGAGGATTTTTAACCTTTAATTCTTAAAGCATCTCAAAAAGTACCACCGTCGGTTTGTGTTTCTCCTGTAACTGGTTCTAAGATAGATTATATCCTTGGGTCAATCCGAGGATGTCCCTGCATATTGTATATAATGGCATCTAACCCTTTCCCAGCACTAGACAATGTGGTTTGGATGTGTGGGGAACATCTTCACACATATATACCCCCTTATTGGCAAGGGGTTTGTGCCCCGTATTGGATAGCTAAAACTACAAAATTTGATAAAAATGGAGAACAAACCTCTGTCTATGGTGCTAACGATTCACAGGTAATTACATGGCCCTCGCAAATAGACACAGATGCAAACCAACTCTCAACTATTGAAGACAATAATCAAGATCTTAAATATAAGAAATTAGCGCTACATCTGGATGATAAGAATCTTTCTGAATCAAACTTATGGTACCAATCACTTAAGAAGCAGGTTAGAACTTTCACAAGAAACTCCTGTTATGCTTGTTCACTGCTCCCTGCATCTACTCAAAATCTTTCCGCACTGGTAGCCAAATCACTCACAGGTCCCAAAGGACTTCCGTCGTGGTGTACCCTGGCATATCAATATGTCATACAAATGCATCCCAAAACCAGAACACATGTCATTAACTCTTCTGAGTTTTGACCTGTTATTAGACCTACTAAAATGCATTTAGGTAAGACAACACATTCAGTGCAGAAAATCAATAACTTTCTTTACAAGGTCGTAAAATATGTTATATACTCCAATATCTCTATCAGTCAAGAAAATGGAAAAGATATTTTCCATGTACATGCAACATCATTTAACGTACCTGAAAATCATCCATCCTTGCTAATGTGTCCTGGTTTTTACAATAAATATCTTTTAAACATAACCTCGGACTTGTCCATCACCCCTCATCAATCCTCCACAGTGGTGAATTCATCCGACATCTTTGATGTTTGTCTAGAGGGTCGATCCCTCACTGATGGTGGTCAGAATATGGGTTCTCTAAAAGTTAGCCAGTGTCGTTTTATTGTTAATTCACATAGTGATTATGCCCAATTAGCTCTGATGGGCACTCCATATACATATGGCTTTTATTGGTGTTGTGGTAATAATGTTTGGAGTAGTCTCCCTCCCCGTTTCCGGAGTAGGTGTGGTCTATGCATGTTACATGACGTAACCTACATTGTGGAGCCCGTTGAATACGCACCACAACACTTCAGACAACTCTCTCCTAGATCTTGTGGAGTTGAAGTTACTGGCTATATCCATTTGAAGAACTCAAACCCTACTGACTTGGCCAAACGTTATTATGCATTGCGGGATGATTTTTAGATATATACACATTCACAATTGGTTTTTATTTCCTTATTTTGGAACACTGAATTGCAATATATGAATCATTATCTCATAGCGCTTACTAGGCATGACTTGGCATTAATGAGAAATGCCACATTAAAGGGTTTTCATTCCATATATGCTGAGTTAGACTTGATCCGCCATTTTGCTTCGGACAATCGCGTTGCTTTGGGTGCATTGACGGCATCTCAGGGGGGTGTGTGTGCCACTGTAGGAGAAGGCTGTTGTACGTATTTACCATCTGATTCTGAAGGAATGGGCAATTTGACGATAGCCATTAAGAATCTGAAAGATATCCATATGGGAATTGTCACCACCAATAAGGATGCACGCATCACAGGGGGGTCTACTGGAATTAAGGTTTGGGATCATATCTCAGCCTTATTTGGAGGTAACTCCTTCTATGCCTGGATTATAGGCCTTGCAGGTCCAGTTATGATCATTATTTTGATTGTGGCTGTTGTGATGTGTTGTTGTTTTCCCATTTTCTGTGCACTAATCATGAAATCTGTTTCTTCTATGGTCAGTACGTCTTTTGTGCAGACTACATTCCTGATGGAGAAGGATTGTATCCCTTCCCCCTCCATACAGGGACCTTGGCTCTCCTCCTCATCATCATCTGAGTCATCTGAAGAATTCGAGGATGGGGAGGCATGAAACCAGTTAATTTCATATTGACCCGTTGAGTGTCATGGCTCCATAGGGTATAGGGTTAGTCCATTTTATCTTCAGGTGGGTTGATAAGTTCTATTTTCGCGGCTTTTGTTCATGGTTTTGTAGGGTTTAGGTGGTTCAGTCGTTGGTTTAGGGTAGAGGGCAGCCTCAAATCCTACTGCCCTTTGTGGGCTGGTTTGGTGTGGCTGACCCTTATGTTTGTTTATTCAACTCACCCTTTTGTTCTAAGTGACCCTGGTCATGAGATAAAAATAAATAATAACATAAAAGTAAATGAATAAATTAATTACATTTTAAAAAAAAAAAGTGAGGACTGTTAGGATGAGTTTCTTCAGCCAGTCATATTAGCCTCTAGAGTGTTGGAGCCGTGTCATTCAAATACCCCAGACACTTTGGTGTTAGATTGCTGGAGCCGGGGGCCTGCGACAACCATCCCTGACCGAGGAACCCTGTACACATTATTGACATCATGTAGGTCCCCAAAATATGTTTTGCTATGGTATGTCCTACTTGGGACCTTTCACATGTTTACCTAAGGCTTTTTAAAATATGTTGTCCTTTGTTTTTACCGTACATGGATTTCTCTTAGGGTCAACTAAATATCAACAGTATGTTTAGGGTTGTGAACCGCTATATATACTTGAATGGTCTTAGACCACTCTTTGTTACACTTGTGGAATGTTGAAGCTGTAACCCAGATCTGCAACCAGTAAAGCTTGTCAAACTGACCCTTTGTGTGGACCTTCCATTCTTTCAAGTGTGAACCTGGGCTAGGCATCCTTACAATCACTTGTTAAACTTTTGAAGGTGTTTTGTTAATTCAATGGGTCAAACTTTCGATATCTCTTTTTATCACTCTGTAAATGAGAAAATACCCCTAAAAATTCAAATATCTCCATGTGTTTTTTTCAGGTCCTAAAAAACACTGTTGCTCCTTTGTATTCATTCTAGACCAGGAATACTGGTGCCTGATACAGGTTATGTTCATCTTAAATTCTAATTAGCATATTTGTATGATAGATAAGTGATTACAAGTACAATTTTATATAAAGGCAATTGGTTACTAGCACATTTACTTGAAAAAAAAAAAAAGTACAATTTCCCTTAAGTAATTGCATATTCCTCCTTTTTCTTATTGTTTTGCCTTCTGTTGATGGTTTCTGTGCTTCATAACCACTTTTTTTGGTTATTTAAGTTTTTATTTTTTCCTTCTGAAAAACAGCATACAGATAGTATATCCAATGTACTTATACAAAATATACAAATTAGCAGGAAAACAAAAAAAAAAAAAACCAAAGAAACCATACTTATATTCACTCACAAAATAATGATACACAACAGGCCTGTGATGTATTTTTACCATAGACTGTATATAAGATGGACAGAGTCTGCCTCCTCGCTGGGTGAAGCCACTCCGAGAACAGCACCCTCTGATGGTGGGCTGCAGTACAGATCATAAATCCCGCCTCCGCCAGCAAAGCTTGTGGGACTGTGGACAAACTTTAGAAATTTATTACACAGAACATAAATTTTTCTCCCCCCTGCTTGTGATGTTGACATGTAGTTATTGTAAGACTGGTTTGTGCCCAAGTCCTTTTTTTCTGTACAGCTCCTTTTTTAAAAGTTATTAGGGGGTTCATGTTTTCTATGATTGACACCTGGTACAGCCTATGGGCGTTCAGGGATTGCGTAGCTCTCCCGGGGAGATACGCTGTTTGAGCCGAGTGTCATCACAGTGACTCTCGGCGACTGCACGACCGAATGCGCACAATGCTACTGCACAGCTCTGGTTTCAAGGAAGTGGAGAAAAACCTGGAATTACCGAGAGCTTTTTGGCTTCAAATCCGTATAAAGGCGGAAGGCGGAACCAAGTTGTCCATCTTATATACAGTCTATGATTTTTACCTTAAGATAAAGAGTAATAATTACATTAATAGGATTCATTTTCGTAACCATTCTTTTGATTCCAAGAAAGAATTAATTTATTAGAACTGTGTGGTACTGTAAAGTGAGTCAAAACAGGGCTGCCACATAAAGGCTCAGTTCCACTAACAAATCTTTAAAAGGGGACCTGCCATCAAAAATGTAATTTTGTGTGTTTTTTGTGTCAGATAAGGTCCATATTATGTTCGTCTTATGTTGTAAATGTGAAAACAAACCGTTACGTCGTTTGCATTCTGTAAAGGTTTAAAATAAAAGAACGGGTAAACCAGGCCAATTGAGGAAGCAAGTCCTTCTGACGTCACGCTGACCTTGCTCATTATTATTCACGAGCGCATCCTCGGTGAGCCGCGCCCACTCTCTCATTCTCGTACTCATTCACACTCAACATCACTCTCCAGCCAGAGCGAGACCCAACTACCACTGTATCCGCTATGGGTCTTGTAAGGGACCAAGCAATCAGGCA